ACTGCACACATCTGCCACAAACTCACCCAAAAGTAGAAGGAATAAACGAAATTCTTCTCTGAGCTCATTATTAAAAAAAAAAAACAAACAAAAAAAAAAACAAAAAAAAAAAACAAACAAAAAAAAAACAAAAAAAAACCAAAAACAAACAAACAAACAAAAAAACAGAGCACACAGAAAACCTCAGGGATTTATATAAAAAAAAAAACAACTATGGGAACTTGTTGGATGGCAACTTAAACCACCCTTCTCACAGATATATGTTTGGTCCCAAAGAATAATGTTCTACTCATACTGAAGCCCCATATACTAGCTTTAAAATTACTACATATTACAATTCAGGTTGTAGCTTCACAATACAAACTAAATTAAAAAATAGGCTGCTTAGAGAATACAGTTCACTTCCTGTATCCTACTTCCCATAACACTAAGAACTGTGTTATTCCAAGTTAAACTACTTACTGCCTTTTACTTATCCCCACCCACACCATATAAAGTGAAGTGCAATGCATACAGTGGAATATTTAACACAGAGTGGAGCTGCAAGAAAATTCAAGTGACCTATGCCTTTGAAGTTTACCAAAAAGAGAAACGTCCATCTAGATTTTGCTCACATTTGTCTAATGGATATTGTCAGCACTGAATTTAAAATAGTTAACCTCAAAAAAAACACCAACAACCAGGTGTTGGACTGCACGTCATTTGGGTTTCTACAGATGCTCAAAATCAAGTTGAAGATGTTTGATTTTCTAACATGAAGGGATGCACACTAAACTGTGACATGACTTAGTTATTTGGTAAATTACATTTCACCTAACTGGGTTTTATTCTGCTGGCAAAACAGCAGGCAATCTCATTTAAGGAGTAACACTACACCAAGGACTGCTTGAAGAACACCATCTCAGATAACGGCTCTAGGAAAGTGTTTTGTCACATCAGAGCTCTCACTTACATGTTTCTAAGCACAGCTATCAGGTAGGCTTGTAATTTGAAGCACACAATTGCCTTGATCCAAGAGGAAAACAAGCAGGACATGAGAAATAATCTCCTCAGAGAGCAAATATTTAAGTGGATTGCTTTGCTCCATTGAAATTTCAGCCAAAAATTCAATTATCCTTATCAAGTTTTGATTTTTCTAGAATACAGGTCTAGATCATGTGATGGTAAGAAATCTATTCAAGAAAAAATATTTTAAATTATTAGAGAATAGTTAAGAACTAAGTTTTAGTTAAGTGATTTAGATGCAAGGTTTTAAAAATATCTTGTCTGAGAACATGTGGCCCACCATTTTCATGGCAAACTGCTATGCAGCTGAACTATTATGAAGGTTATTTCCTTCAAAGGATTTTTTCTTATATAAATAAGAAAGAACATTAAAGTGGCAAGCAAGAAAGAAAAACAAACTCCCAAACCACAAATCAGCCTACCACCACAAGAATAACAAAGAGGACTTCTTAAAGAACAACCAGAACAACTTTTCAACGGCTATGTCTAACTGTGTCCTTTACCATGGAAGATCTTGCACTTCAAAAATGTTTTGGGAAGACATATTGTGAAGCTCGAGAAGAAGAAAGAAACATAACACAAATCTGCAGATGAATCCTTATCATAAAATATGAAATCCATTGTTTTAATCACTTATGGCTATGTGCAGACATTTGTCTTAATATATTTTACAATTCTGTCACGTACATATTTAGTAAGCATGGTTAACTTTCAAATGTTGTCCCTTAAAGCCATGGGAGCTTGTAGGTTTCCCTACAGGAGCATTATTTGACCAGAGGATGTTTGGAAAGGAACAGAAAGTTTTAACAAGTCACGTAAATTTTAAAAAGAGACTCAGATAAAATATGCTTACATATCCTTTGGGAATATCTGTATCTTCATTATTTCCAGGATCATTCTCCAGGTGCTGCTTGATTTTTTCTTCTAACCCTACAGCATCTGCTCCTTGATATTGGTCAATCCGCACTTTGTTCCGAAAGAACAGAAACGTTGGTGTTGCTGAGATATTGTTGGTAGCAGCTGTTCCCTAGAATGCATAAATTAGTTACCAGTGTTCTCTAGCACACTATTACCAACATCAGGCAAAAACACTGTTTCACATGGATGAGAATGTACACATTAATATTAATCAAGCTACAGCAGCCCCAACATCACAGTTTTTCTTATACTGCAAGAACCTTCAAGTCAGACAACAACTTGAATTGAAATGCTTCAGATCCTCCTAATCTTTCCTACATTTAGGCATTCTTTCAAAGGATTTTGTGTTAGGTTGGTCAGTCCATCATAAAAATCCTACTACTCACATGCTCTTGAAGGTGAAGATCACCTCATTTCCCATGTTACAAGCATTCTTTACACCTGTGTTACTTCCCTTTCCAAAGGGATTCATGCACACCTCGAAGGGTGCAATCTTCCACTGTAGAAGGTGACTCCTATTTCACTTCTACCTGTATCTGTAGCACCCAGGTGTTTTTTTTCCCAAAACTTGCCATAATTCAGTGTTGTTTTAAACAGCGTTGCTACTTCTACACTCATCTCTCTTCATTATCATTTGCTTTTCTTGAACATTTGCAAGTTCAAGAAGCTTCCTTTCAACACACCACTGTTGATTTCTGCTAACAACCCTTAAGTCAATCAACAGCTTGTGTGCAACACTTGTCTGTTAAAAACAGACACATAGTACTTGAGAGGAATTACTGGCACTGACTTTGTAACTGTGTTACATCAGTAGAATGCACAGCAGGAACTGCTAAAGGACCAGCACATCTTTTTAAAGAAGGATATCAAACTGCTAATTGCAAGAATATTTTCCTAAATGTTTGGTCACATCTCTGTGAATAAAGTAATTTCAGATCAATAAAATTTCTTGTTAATCAGGAAACACATAAATGGACACTTATTATACTGATTAAGCAGCTTTCCTTCCAGTTCCTCAGTCACTGCATGGTCTAATTTTCCTCTTACAAAAGGTGAAATATGCTTTGGAATACTAACCTGGCACTGATGCACATCCACTTCCAAAAATGTTGCCTGAGGGTACTTGTTACTCAGAGCATTGAAAGCTGGAGCTATCCTTAAACAAGGACCACATCTGTGAAAACAAAATAAAATTCAACCTATTCTTTAAAAAAAAAACTCTTGACTCAAACTGAATCAGTATGTTCATTTTCTTGCTTTGGTACATGTTGGGTGAAAACAGCCAATAATCTGAATTGCACAATGCTAATTGCTACATAATACCACGTCATCATTACTGTGTTGTTATATGAATTACAGAAAGCTATGGCTGAGCTTTACTGCAGTACATATACAACAACCACAACTGCCTGTGGATCCAACCCAACCCCAATGACAGGCCCTGCAGCTGAAACAGAATCAACCAGCACCATTATCAGTTACCCCTATAAGCAAAGGTAAAAAATGCCTACTAAAGTGAGGTTATTTAGTAAATAAATCCTAAATCAGATGGAAGAAAATGAAACTGAGCCACTGAGCTAGTCCAACAGCTCAAAGAATGAGAGCAGGGAGAGGAAGAACTTAGAAGAGACAGAGACTGTCTAAACCCTGATGTTGGGTGAGCTTCTAAACATATAAGAAGATTGTAACCATTGTCCAGGTAAGCACATTGTTATGTGGCTGCTCCGGAGCTGAAACTTTGGGGTCAGGGGCCTGAACTTAGTGGGCAGTGAAGCCAAGCAGCTGCAGCTGTGATCCCTTTCTAGGGAAGGAAGCATTGGCAAAGCAGTTGGAAAAGAGGCCTTGCCCCTATGGCAGTGATGTCATGATGGGAAGATATCCCTGCAAGGATGAGTCGGTAAGTTAGCCAGGCAAAGGGGCCACCATGAAGAGAGATAAGCAGTACCTGAGGGAATCTGCTGAGCTGGCATTAACATACACCATTAAAATGAGCAATACCAATTCCTAAGATCCACACAACATCGCTTTTTTGCCTCGACAACAATATTACAGTAAGAATCACCCAGACTAAAGGAGTGAGTGGCCGTGTGGTGCTTGGCTAACAGGCTAAACCACAGCAGAACCATGCGTAAACTCTCTGAAACTGAATGCAACAAATCCAGTGCCACCTGTGGAGGACAGCTACATTAAAGTCCCTGCACAGGACGTGACATAGAGATGGCATAGTAAACCCTTTGCAGGGATCACAGGAGCTACTATTCACTGTGACAATATCGAGTCACAACGGCCGACTTCGCTGCGGGCATGAAGATGCAGCCACCTCAACACAGGAAGATCTTGACAACTTGTGCAAACGGCAGCGCAGCACCAACCCATGAAGAACCGCAGGCTATTCCTGCAGCAGCGCACAGACATCTCTCAAATCTCTAGCAAAGGGCTCCGGCCCGCTGACGGACACTCAGCCTCCCCTTCCCACCCTCACCCCGAAGAAGATCGGCCCTGCCGCCAGCGCCCAGCACGGCCCCACACCGACGGCGCTCCGCCGGCCGGGCCCGCGCCTCACGGCGCCACTCACCCCCGCATGGTGAACTTCACCACGGCTAGGCGAGAGCCGGCCGCGCTCAGCTCAGGCTGGAACTCAGTGTCGTTAGCGATCAGCTTCACGCCCACCATCCTCGCCGGACGGGGGGAGGCAGAAGGTGCCACAGCGGCGGCGCCGGCCTCTATCTGCAGCGTCACGGCGGGAAGGCGCGGCCAGCGTGCACCGCGCGGCGAGTCGCGCTCAACGCATGCGCGCTCTGCCACGCTTCTCCCTGAAGCACTTCCGGCCGCGCAGCGCAGCGCCTCTCAATTCTAGAGTAGGAGGGAAGCGAGAACGGCCATTTTGAAAAATGGCGCGCCGGAAGCGAGGCTGCCATCTTTGTAAGGGGCACGCCGGAAGCGATGCCACCATCTTTGTAAGGGGCACGACGGAAGCGAGGCGGCCATCCTTGTAAGGGGCACGTGTGAAGGGAGGCGGCCATCTTTGTAAGGGGCACGCCTGAGGTGAAGCCCGGTCCCCCGCGGCCCCGAGGAGGACGAGGCGGCCGCGGCCTTTGCCGTACAGCTTAGCACCCGCAGGAGGCCGGCGGCGTTGATATGATATAACACGATTCAGGTACGTTTGCCGTCTCGGTCTTTGTCGCCTCTGATCCCGCCGCTGGGTCCCGTAGAGGTGCCCGCAGTTCTGCTCTCCTGTCAGGAGAGGTCCGTCCCGTTGATGCGCACACTGATGAGGCGGAACCGCCTTTCACAGAGGATTCAGGCCGAACGCGGCGCCTTCCGTGCCCGCCGCAGCCCTCCGCCTGCGCCGCGCTGTCACGCTCCGCCGCTCGTCTCTATGGCGACGCCGCTGCCTTTGCGTGCCGTCAGTCGCGGCGGCCGGGGGGCGGCTTTACGACACTGGGCGCCGCGGCGGCCGGCCTCGTCAGCTGCTCGAGGGAGCGCGGCGCCCGGGGGCTCCTCTGCAGAGCCGCGGCGGGGACAGGTGAGCGCTCGCGAGTCGGCGGCCTCCTCCCAGCCGCGGCGCGCCGTCCATCAGCCCCCCGGTGCGCCATGTTGTACGGGGGTGGCGGCGAGCCCCACCAGCCCCCAAGGATCGTTCTCGCGGTGCGGGCGGGGCGCCACGGCGCGGAGTGGCGGTGTGTAGGGGAGGGCGGGGGGCGGTGTGTGTGGGGGCGGTGTGTGTGTGTGGGGGGGAGGCGGCTGCACCCTCGGTGCCGCATATTCACGGCGCGGAGTGGCATCCCGAGGCTGTTTCCCTTTTCTTGTGCCGGCCCCGATGCCACTGGTAAATAGGGTTACGGGTTGGAGTTCGCTTTGCAGCTCATGGGGTGACAGTGCTGAACGCGGTTGTGACAGCTGGGATCTGGAAAAACCTGTGTGGGTTCCCCGTGTCGCCCAGCGAGGTGCCAGGGCAGCCTGCTTCTGAGGCGTCTGCTAGCGCTGCTGCAGGATCTGGATGGAGCCAGAGAGCCATTACGGCTGAAACAGCTTTCTGACACCATCACAGAATCACCACGGTTGGAAAAGACCTACAAGACCATCCAGTCACAGATGCATAATGCTAATCACAGAATCATAGGGGATGGAAGGGACCTCCGAGAGATTGTCGAGTCCAGCCCCCCTGCCAAAGCAGGTTCCCTACACCAGGTTGCACAAATAGGTGTCCAGGTGGGTCTTGAACATCTCCAGAGAAGGAGACTCCACGACCTCCCTGGGCAGCCTGTTCCAGTGCTCTGTCACCTCACTGTAAAGAAGTTCTTGCACCCATTTGTGTGGAATTTCTGGCTGTTTTCTGTTGTCCTGTCTCCACATACTGCTGAAAACAGTCTGGGCTCGCCGTTCTATCCCCCTCACCTTAGATATTTATAGACCTGGGTCAGGTCCCCTCTCTGCCTTCTTTTCTCAAGGTTAAACAGACCCAGTTCACTTAGCCTTTCTTCACAGGGGAGATGCTCCAGTCCAACCATCCACCTATCACCAATAGTACTGACTGAGCCATATCCCTCAACACAAAATCCAAACGTTCCTTGAACACCGCCAGGGTCGGTGACTCCAGCACCTCCCTGGGCAGCCCATTCCACTGCTGGACCACTCTTTCAGAGAAGCAGTATTTCCTAATGTCTGGCCTGAATCTCCCATGGCACAGCTTAAAGCTACTCCCTCTAGTCCCATCACCAGTTACACGAGAGAAGAGGCTGACCCCCAGCTCACTGCAACCTCCCTTCAGGTAGTTGTAGAGAGCAATAAGGTCTCCCTTGATCCTCCTCTACACCAGCAGCATCCAGCAGTGCATCCCAGCTGACCATGTCCACCTATGTGGCATTATCACTTCCTTTATCTGGTTTTGCATTCATCTGTATACCCATGAGGTGGATTTCTGTGGGATAGCCCACATTACCTTCCTGCTGTTAAGTGCTTTTGGGTTGATATTCTGTAATCCTGTGCTTGGCTGCGGAAAGCAGTAACCTGTTACTGGAATGCCACAGTTATTGGCACATCGTGAAGATTAGGAAGGAGTTTGTGTCTGAACTAATTGGATTTTTAATGTCTGTTTTGGAAGGCATGTTTTTGTACTGTTGCATTTGTTTTTGATTTTGATTGTGTTGGGAAAGTTTGGGACCATGTTCACAATACTTTTCTTTGTGTTACAGTAACACATTGTGGCCAAATCAAGTGCTGTGTAAAATATCTGAGGAGAGCTTTGTCACAGGGCTTGAAATACAGCTGTGCTGTGTGATGCCCAATGCAGGTGAATGAGTGAGAAGAAATAGAGAATGCATGAGGGATAGAGGTTCTGCCTGCACACGGCTGTGGGAGAGCTCAGCAGATTACAGGGTGGATGAAGGAAGTCCAGGTGCCTGTACCTTTTTAATCCTTGATCAACGTAATAGCTTGGAGCAAGCAGAGGTTAGTTCCCTCCTGCAGATATGCTTAATTCTGATGTAATGAGTGGGTTTATTGAGGTCAGCGTGAATATTCAGGGCAGTAAAATGAAGTGTGCTGTGTTTACTTTTAGCAGTCCTTGCACCTCTTGGCTGTGTCAGGATGCATTGGTTCTCCTTGATAGCTACTTGCTTTTGTTTTTGTCTTGAAATTGGTATGGTTAATTACCAAGACAAATGCACCTGGCATTTCAGCTCACCATCTTCTGGCCTGTTTTGCATGCATGTTTGTCCACGTCCATGGTGATGGCAGATTTGCCTGGCTTTTTGCTAGGCTGGTTGCCTGACATTGCTGTCACCATGATGAATTTGTTTCATGCAGCATTGATTGCGTTCTTCACCTGTTTACTCACAACTCTCTCTTAGCGAAAAATGACAATTCTGCTTTCTTAATAAAGACTTTTAGCACAGTGTTGCAATAATATTTTTTTCGTTTGCAAAGCAGAAAGTTGAGCTTGGATAAAGTTTAAAGGTGCCCACCTGCAGTGGGCATCATGCAGCACAGCTGTATTTCAACCCTGTGACAAAGAGCAAAGTTATTGCTCTCTAAGTTTTGTATTCAGTGCTCATCTGATGCGAGCCGAAATGAAAATGTTAGATGTGTTGGAGTTAAAGAACTGAGCACGTAGATCCTTTTCCAGTGTTTTGTATCATGCAAATGTGGCCCAAAATGTCGTCTAGTAGAAAAAACCCTACAAAAATAGCCACTCAAACCCCCAGCAGACAAACATGGATTTATTTGCTGAAGAAGTATTAGCTTTTTAGAAGCGTTCTCTGACTTTCCAGATAGCATGGATTTACAGAGAGGAGATTGCCTCCCACGCTGAGACTGATGGGTGAAGAGGAGCAGAATTTGGCACAGCTTCCATAGCATCCTCATGGACAAGCTGCTGATACATGCTTAGGATGAGCGCATTGTAAACTGGGGGAGCATACAGCCTCAGAGGGTTGTGATGGGCAGCTTGATGTTCTGCTGCAGGACAGTCATAGTGTTGCACCCCGAGGGCTGGTACTGAATCCTCTGGTGTTTAATATCATCAGAGGTGGCACAGGCGATGGACAGGGCAAGTCTACAGGTGGTACAGAATGAGGAGGGAGGCTCACAGAGGTGTGCTGCCTCAGCCTGGAGAGATAAGCCAAGAGGAGCCTTGTGAATTCAGCAGAGGGAAGTGCCAGGAAGTTTCTTCCTGACAGCAGTTAAGCATTTGGGTAGGTTGTGTATACGCAGGAGTGGACGTGATCCTGGGCAGCTGTATCTGGCCCAGATCTTGTTCAGCTTCATTGTGATCTGCTGCAGTGCCTTCCTTCCACCCCACCCGCTCTATGGTTCTGTTGGATTTGCAACAGGCTTGGAAGGCAGAAATACTTGGCATTTGATCCCTTTATGATGAGTTGAAATGCATTTCGGAAGCCTCTAACAATTCCTGACGGGCATTCAGAAACAAGCAGAATGTTATTAACAGAGCAAACACTGCTGACCATTTGTGTTTAGTAACAGATTTGCTTATTCACCATCTACACAAAGAAAGGTGTGAATATCTAAATGTGTGTGTTCTGACAGTTGAACATTTGTGCAATTCTGGATACAGTATTTTGTTTTCTTCTCCCTGCTGTGTCAATCCTGTACTTTCCCAGCTGCATGTATTAAATGGAAAAGGCCATTAGTAAAAAAATTGTAATTACCATTGGGTAATTCAAATGGAAGCCATGATGTAGCAGAAAGGAGCCGCTGCCATGGATACGTGAGTGCATGCGGGTGGCTTTAGGAGGGGTATTGCAGTGCTTAACTCATGACTTTAGGAGAGAAAGATTCTGTATGTGCAAAAAATGTTAGGCGTAAAAATTACTGTTTGTGTGAAAATATGAAATCCTTTCAGAAGGCTTCTCCTGATATCATGGATGGCAGCCCTCTCTGTGCTTGGTGACAATCTGAGGAATAAGGTAATTTAAATTCTACTGAAAATGCAGAAAAAAATGCATTAATATGTGGTAAACATTGATAGGGAAGGGAATGGTTTATTGTTAATATTTCTGAACTGCTTTGTTTGAGCGTAAGTTACATTTAGAAGCAGATGTTCATTTGGCAGACTTCAGTGGTTCATTTTGGAGCTGTTACAGACCGAGAGTGTACATGATAAAGAAATAGTCATTTCATAGATGTTTTTTTGACAGATTCTTTTAGCACCCACATGTATCCTCAGATGTGCTGGGGGCAGAACTAATACCAGCTGGATGGCTAGGGAGCTGGTTTTATTGTCCCAACACAAGGCAGAGGTGAAAGCTCCTCACCGGCTGCTGGGCTTCCTACCAGGAATCAGTTCGCTTTGGGTGCGTTTTTTGGTCCTACAAACTGTTATCAGAGAGCTGTCTCAGGGTCTTGATTTTGAGGAGGTTCAATGATATCTCCAGGCTGCGTCTCATGGCTGAAAGGTGTGGGAAAGCTTGAGGCACCTGCAAGTAAAGTGATCTTGCAGGAAGAGTTTGCGTACAAGCCGAGGAAGGTTTGTGGCTCCATCTTTGATTTCTTGCAGCAACCATTATCATGAAGCTCTCTGATCATACATCTGACCTTCATCTTCACTCCTATGCTCCTCGTAGGTCATGTCCCTGATTTTCTTGAGCAGTGCACTACTGTTAACTGCTAAAATCTTCTCTGCAACTGCTTTGCCTCTTCTTAAACAGGCTTTCATCTGAAGGCAGCGTTTTGTTTTCTGCTTGCCATTTTGTTCCCTAAGTGAACACTTTACCAGTGCTATACATGTGAAAGAAGTACTCGATGGTGTTGATGGTGTTGATGGTGTTGTGGTTTGGTGAAGGTGTTAAATGAATCTGCGATTCAGCATTTAAGCAATAAGTTGTACTTGAGAAAGCAGTTTAGTAGCCTTGCTCAAGTAGGGTTTTTTTCCCAGATTATGGAATTTGCCTGAATACCAGCCTTCTTAGTGCTGTGGAGAGTCACTGACTATTCCACCAAGTTAGTACGTTATTTTCTATTTTTTTCATTACTCATGCAAGGGCACGTTAATATTGATATTCTTTCAAGTCCTATTATTAAATAAATACAGATTATTTATCTTTTGGGGTTTCTTTGGGGGGAGGGAGAGGGCAGGATGGGATGGGGGGTTTTATCTGGAAATCTAAAGTGTCATTTTCGCTTTACAAAGAACGCAGATGAAGACACTGAAGAAGAGGTTTGAGAGTCCAGAGACATGAGATGAAGTAACTTCCAAAGTCAGTATATGAGAGAGTGTTCTTGGGTCCACATTATAGCTCCCACTGCAGGAAAAAGCAAATGAAAAATTTCAGATCTGGGGAATATTAGAGAAAATTGAGAGCCTCCCTTTGGTCAGGTCTTTTCAGTAAGGTCTTTTCCAGCCGTTCTGCATCTGGGCATTCATTGTGACTTTGAGAGGGGTGGTTCGGAAGTGAAGTGCAGTAGCAGCCTACAGATGGCTTTCTGTACTCACATGGTAACGCAAGGTCGTTCTTTCTTTCTGTGTGCTTGTGGAGGAGGGCACCAAGGCGCCTGTGGAAGTGGTATGGAAAGCCTCAGCCACCTCTGTGATGACAGGACTTCTAAGGAGGAAGAGCTCAGTTTGATGTCTGAAGTTCATTGTCCAGTTAAAATTTCCAGTCCCTATTTCTGCAAAAATTCTAGAGAGGTACAGATAAGTAGAACACAGGGTTTCCTCTGCAGTGGTTCACCGCGTGCTTTTTGACCATTTGTCAATAGGTACTGTGTTTATTTGTTACTGGAGTTGTCATCATTGATGTAAAAAAAAAATTCTGTATTGATTGTTTCCAGACATTAAGTGACTTTTGGTTTTTACTGGGAATGTATTTGATGCTCGGTGGCAGTAGAGAACTGTTCTTTGCAGTCTGAATTCCGCGCCAGTTGAGATGAGTTTGTGGTACTTCCTGAAAATGAAGTTTTTAATGAAGGCTTTGCGATGCCATACTAAAAAACTGGAAGGCAAGAGGTAGCTTTTCTTTCTGCTCTCTCTCTCCCCCAGGGGTTGGTATGAGAAGTTCTAAGAGCTGTCTCTCTTTTATATAAAAGTTTTGGAATGTGGATATTTGTAAGCGTTTACATATGATTTCTCTGTTCACATTTGCAGTGCTTCCTCACTTTGGTCTGCGTGGAAGGTACAAGATATATTAGATTACTTATATGTGGTAATACTTGTGACTGCTGTAATATCCTCGTGAAAATTCAGTATTTTAAGTGTATTTATAACGTTGGTTTGTGTTTGTTTGTTTTAATAGCAATAGGTAAAGCACCAGGCTTACTGCAGAATTTGGTGAAACAACTGTGTACCCTGGTAGGCGAGCTCCTTTATTATCCCAGCATGCAGTTGTTCGCGTCGCTGAGACGATCACAGAGATGACTTATGGAAATGTTCTGATGCATTCCCTGATCTATGAGCAATAGGAAATGAGAAGCATGGGAAGAGACTTTATGTTGCTTATCAGCATTTTTATTCCCAGAATTTTCCAGCTCTAAAATTATTGATGGATTGTCTTGTTATCAACTGAAAGTTATTTTGTAAGTTAAACTGAAGGTCAAATATTTATATATATATAAAAAATAGTAACAAACAAAGAAAAAAACAAACCCCAAACACCAACCAAAGCAAAAAAACACCTAGGTACAGTGTGTGCCAACAAGCTGCATCAGGGATACTGCAGTGCAGTGTGGCTCCCAGCCATGAAGGGCGGCTGTACAGGATGCTGTGGGACTGACTTTGGCAATTCCATATTTCCAGCCCACAGCTACTGAGCCCCAGTAGTTGGCTGAAGTAAAATTGGTGCAGAATATTGTGCCTTCATTGTGTTTTAAATACTTCATCTTAACAGAAATTTCTCAGCTCGCCTTTCCCAGTGTGTCGTCTGTTTTATTTCATCACAAAATGTGGTAAAAAGTTGACTTTGTATTTCTGTGATGCATCTTTGTACTGCGTCTGGACAATCTTCATTTTAGGATCTCATTCAATTCTTTTTATCATCTTTACATCTGTAAATCGAGTACCTTTAGGCCAGAGGTTTTGTAATTCCTCAGCTGACAGGTACACTGCCTTTATTAAGGTCGCTGCATCCTTTATGCCTTCTGAAAAATATTTTGCAGTTCTGTGTTCTGATCATCCAGACACGGAACAATTGATCCAGCATTGTGTAACAGCACTGCATTTACAGCCATGTGTTACAAACACTCGTCTCAGGGTGGTGTGTCAGAACAGAGCGCGTGCTTGGTTGTTGGTCTCTATTTGTATTCATTTACTAAGTAATATTGCTCAATTTTTAATAACTGTGGTCCCACTGGGTGCAAAAAAAGATTGGGCATAAGATGACACTTTGTAGTGACTGCTGTTACTGTTCTCATCCTTTGAATTTACTGAAAAACCATTCTGCATCCCAAACTTCTCAGAAGCGTGAGGCTTAGTGCATCCGGCTTGCCTGTGTTCTCTGTTCCAAGACTCAGGCCAGTTTTTAGTTGTCACTGCAGTCTGTAACACCAAGCTGTGTTATTCAGCTGTTTGCTGCTTCCCTTCCCCCCTTTTTCTGTATTTATTAACATGTTCCATTGCTGCTGCCACAGGGACTGTTTGCACTAGAAATGGAGTCAGTGTTTGTCCAAATTACTCTAAAACTATGTGCTTGAAGAGATTTCAGTGTAATGTTTATACAGATGAGAGATAGCATTAATTTGTTTTGAGCTCCCTGTAGCATGGCAGAAAAAAGCTTTTGAAATAGAAGGTAAAAAAGTGCTGTCTGCATTAAAAAGAAGGATAGGGGTTGCTGTCGGGGATGAGCACATTTCAGGATATTTCTTCTGCTGCTGCTTATTTTTCCATTGTAATCAATCAGAATTACTTTCTCCATATTCTAAACGACTGTAGAAAGATTTGTTTGTCTGCGAGCACACACCTGTACTACAAGATCATGCCAGTGGGATGAGTGCATATATATTAATATAAAGGCAGGAAAGCGTGCTGAGGTATTCCTTCAGCGAATTCTTCTGCCGTATTTATACTTCTCTACATGGGAAATTCTGCTGGGAAATAGTGGGAATAGCTGGGAAATGGGAAATAGTGATTTGAACTATGCAAAGTTCTGAACAGAAACCTCTGTTAGGAAACACTAGGAGCATTTCCTCCATTCGTTTAGCACACTGATTTTCCCATTCATTTCTCAGTAACTTTCTGTAGCTCAAAGTTCTTCTGCAGGGTAGTTGAGCAACTGCTACAGCACTATGTGAATTCTCAGTAAGAGATGAAGAAAACTTTGGTCGTATCTGATGTAAGTGTTCTGCTTGCTGGCTATGTGCTCTGTTTTTCCATTTATTCTTAACAAGTACTGCTAAGTGGAAGAGTTCTTGTGTCTGAACATTGAAGTGTTTGGTAAACTCAGGGTATTGCTAACAAAAACAGGCTTGGTTTGGTGTTCAAATCTCCTGCTGATCTCAGAACTGGTTTTTTATTGGCCTTGCTGTTGCTCAGATCCCCGGGTTGTGTGCTGCAGCTTTCCCCAGCTCACATTTCCCCTTCCTGCTCCCTACTCGTGGCTGGACTGCAGCTCTGGGCATCTGTGGGGTCAGCTGACATGGCTGGCAATGAATGGGATGGGTCCAGAAAAGAATTAAAAATGCAGTTTTTATTTTGTAACAGCTGCAGGAAGGGACAACAGAAATAGATCAGTTCCTCCTCTTTCAGTCTCAGACTTTCAATCAGTTCTTGTTTAGGATCCAGCTTCAGAGGGCTGGCAGTGGTGGAGGATTGAGAAGTGCATTGCCCTTGCTGTATTTCCTTTTTCTAGCTTTTGTTAGTTCTAAACGTTGATAGTTCTAGCAGTGACTCTTGTCTCACAACTGAGTCACTTGTTGCACGTTCCAGTTCCTTTTCCCTCACTGCCTGCCCCTCTTAAGAAGCTTTTCTCACAGATTTCCCTCCGAGGAAGGCTGTAGAAGTACACCTTCAGCCACCAGTGCTGCAGATGAGGGCTTAGACACCAGAGACTGAAAGGTTCAGTGTTGTGTAAATATGTTATTTGGTGCATCTGTGAGGATGAAAATCTTCCTCACTGAGAGAAGAGATGATTGTATACTGTGTTTTAATTGAGGAGCGGCATGTTGTAGTGACTGTTTCTTTAGGATAAAATGTTCATAAAGTCACTTCAGACTCATCTTTTACTGCCTCGTGAGATAGGAGGGTGTCAGCTGAAGAGCAGGCATATCCATCGAGACCTAATTAATTGGTATTGCTGAAATTGACAGGTGTGAAAGCAGGATGGCTGGGAACAGCCTCGTGTTGCCCATTGTCCTGTGGGGCCAGAGGGCTCCCACCCACTGCATATCAACCCTGCTGCTCATGGATGACGCGTCGATGATCGTCACTGGCTGCCACGATGGCCAGATATGTCTCTGGGACATTGCTCCAGATTTAGAGGTAAGATGCTTGAGTTCAGATTGTGCCTAAGGTGTTTATCCTCGTTACCAAAGTGATTTTACTGTTCAGTATGGCGGCATCCCCTCTGGTCATTTTGTACTCGTTCATCTGTCCTTTCTTCATCGCTTCACATGATGGGACTTGGATGTCATGCCATCCACTTCCGGTAGAAAATATTTCACAATAGAAAGAGAAGTGTTTGCTCTTGAATTCTGTTACTGCTCCTTCAGTAATTTATCTTAAATAATTATTTCCTCTTTTTCTGGAGCTCTTCTAAGCTGTTTTCAATGCAGCTGCTTTGTAAAAACCAGAGGTCGGAGGACTGTATCTAGAGAGTTTTTTAAGGTTATTACTTGATTAATCTGCTGATTTCCATGGAAACTGAAAGAGAAAAGAAATCTAGCAGCAAAGATGAAGATTGATTAATTATTTTAAATATAGATTTTACGTTACACATTACTGTACTGAATACCTAAAATTCTCAATATCCGAGTTATTCCCGTAAATTGTTTGTTTAGTATGTTTAAAAAATAAAGAAGGAGGGGCCAGTAGAAAATGACTATTACCTTCTAGAAAGGACAAATAAAAGTCACTTTTTCCTTTTTTTTAATCAATGAATGCAATGTATGTAGTTTATAAATAGATGTGTAGGGCTGTGAAATGTACTCGACTGGGGGAAACTTGTTGCAGTATAACAATTGTTTTGAGTTGGGTCAAATTCAATCTATCATTTAAAATCACTGTTAACACGAGTATTATGCAAAGTAAATTTTTACACAGATTTGTATTATGTTATTGGGTAGAAATGTTTTTTTTTTTTTCATGCAACATAGCACATCCTGTGCAAATGCTTTTTATATGTCCACAAGTGTGCTAATAAAATGTGCATGTATACATATAGCCACATATTTATATAATGTATAAAACAGAAATCTGGAATATGCATATTCTAGTTAAGTAACAGTGTGTTATTTTTCTCTCACATTTTGTTTCCCTGATTCTAGATTAATCCCAGAGCTCTGCTGTTTGGTCACACAGCCTCAATCACTTGTTTATCAAAGGCCTCTGCTTCCAGTGAGAAGCAGTACATAGTGAGTGCGTCAGAGAGTGGGTGAGTTCTCTGAGCATTTATTAATATGCAGATCTGTTAAATAATGGAAGTTTCGAGTAGAGTAGAGATCAGGTTGCTTGCACCTATGTCTTCTCATTCCACAGTGCTTTTTACTTAGTCCACTATCTGTAGATATTCCAAATGATGGGACTTCTCCACTGCAGGTACTGAGTGTGGTCATAATTGGGGGTACACAGCGTGACTGAGTGCTAAGGGGTGGGAAGAGAAGCTGAGCATAACGATGGCTTCGGAGATAAGGGGAGCCCTGCTGAGACAGCACCCTGCTTTCCCTCATCGCTGCTCAAGGCCAGATAGCTACTTATCAGAGCTGGCCACGAGCCTGGGCAGCTGAACCCCATGTGGAGAGGGTGCAGTCACAGTGCCCTTGTATTCACTTTCCTACCCTGGCCAGCTGTGGGACAGCACATCTTAGATGTCAGCAAGAGGACCATAGTTCATTACTCTGACTAAGCGACTCTGGGAGGGCAGAGGTTTCAGGTAGTTGAAGAAACTGCTCTTGTCAGCAGGAATCTGGAACAGCTTTCTAAGAAGAGAGATGAGCATTTCAGTCAGAACAAATAGCCTTGGTTTGTTGACTTGCATTGAGTAAGATGGGGTTATGTTTCACCTCTGTTTCTTACTTTCTGCCTGCATAAGTGCAGTTGGAGAAGCATAGGTTAGTTACGTATGCAAAAAATGAAATCATTTCTTTTTATCCAGAGAATATGTTTAAACAGTCTTTTAATCTGAACACTGTGAACGTAGCTTGTCAGAACTTAGAATTTCCACCTTGTAGTGATTTCAGTACTAAGTAGTTTTTTGGGGGGGGTTTAGGACAAGAACAAAAAAGATTTCTTTGTGAAATGATACATCTGATACAAAGGGGAAAAGTCACTGACAGATTTTGTTCTGAATAAATTTAGGCATAAAATTTCGAAAGTCAAAATATAGGGGGAAAAATCTGAACATAGGGGTAAATGCTTTTTTTTAGCTCTCTGAAGTCTGAATTAATTCCTAGAGGTAACTGTAATATTTTCTTATCAGGTAGGCCAGAAAAATACTCTCTGATACTCCTTTTTGTTAGTTGTTCTTTGATTTCAAGTTGGTCTTAGAATTGCTGGAGAGTTCCAGGTGATGCTTCCACCTGTCATCAGCTTGGAATCTCTGAAAACTTTCAGAGTTCACTGCTGTGTGATAAAGTTCTGGTTTTCTGTAATTCATTTTTCTTCCTCACAAATGTGGAAAAGGCAAGCTAATCTTCAGATATCTGGTGGGGTGCCATCAGTGTACACAAATGACTTGAAATAACTGTGAGAGAAATTGGAAATCCTCAGTCACATACTTGCATTTACTTAATATTGATGTTTTATGATGTAGTGTGGTATTTTATTCATTTCCTTTTGTCTTTGTAGAGAAGAACAGTCTGCACAGATTTGGGTAGCACTGGATGCTCAAGTAGATTTTGTGGTTTCTTTGTCTAAATGCAATTCATACAGTCAATAATAAGCATTTAATTTATTCCAATGTAAATAATTCTTAAATCCTTGGAAGACCGAAATACTTTGGATGTAGTTGTAATCTGTCTTTTGTATTTTAGGGAGATGTGTCTGTGGGATGTGAATGATGGCAGATGCATAGAGTTTACTAAGCTAGCCTGCACACACACTGGCATACAGGTTGGTATTTGTGAATGATTTGGTAATCCTATTCTGCATTGTATAGCATGGATAACTATAGCCGAGTTACTGAAACGGGAATGAGAACATTCACTCTATCAATAAGTACCCTGCGTTTGAAATAGGAAACAGCAGGTGGGAGCCTCTGCAAAAAGCTCCTTCATCACAACACAGCAGCAATTTTGGAGTATGTAGCCACTAGGATGTATTCATGTAATAGTGATCTTGGTTAAAAATGAAATAGTGTCTTGCATGGAGTGTAACTTCCGTATTGTGTTAATGTCCACTTAGTTCTACCAGTTTATGGTTGGGACTCAGCGTGAAGGGAGGCTGTTATGCCATGGACATTATCCAGAAATTCTTGTTGTGGATGCTACCAGCCTTGAAGTTCTTTATTCTCTGTTATCAAAGATATCTCCTGATTGGATCAGCTCCATGACTATCATTAAATCCAACAGAACACAAGGTAGAGTTTTTTGTTGCTTTTATTGTGGCTTTGCCTCTCTGCAAGGGAATACATTTGCTTCAGCTTTTCCAAGAGGCTGAGGAGGAGTCCAGAATGTTGCTTCTTGCTTTTTTCTGCCACGTGGGGGATGAAGGTGATCTTGGGCAGTACCAAGCCCTAACTTTCTGTAAAAGTAACAGATGTGTAGTTATTTCTATCTCTGAAAATACAGCAAGAGAAGACTTGATAACGTTGTGGGTATTCTTTCTGTTGCTGTTACATCAGATGAGAGTTTAAGCTCTGGCCAGATTTAAACGCTTTTTCATGAGCTGAGCATAAAATACAGCTAAATCAACTCAACAAATTGCCCACCTGGTAAATTGGTAAATTGATTCACATTCCTTAGGAGTTCCTGTGAAAGATGGGAAAAGTCTTAATTTTTTAATCTTTTTTTTTTTTTTTTTAAATAAAAGCATGTTCTGCTAGAGTGAAGAGTGGTAACCTGTTTTCACTGAGAGTTGTGAGAATTTAGGAGAGCACTGTGATTGTAAGGGCCTGAAAACTGGCATGAGACTGGAGGAAGAGGTGCAAGCACTCCAAATGCTAAGGCTGTCATCTGCATAACCGATGTGATGTGTGTTGTACATTGAGATCATTTGGCACATAAGAAATTGTGATTTTTGACAAGATATGTACATGCCATGAGTATTTCTTTTGATCAGTAGCTTTATAAAAAAGCACTGGCGTAACATTTGCAAAGCTATTATTGCAAAAAATATATTTAAAATCCTGGTGTGGGCAAGCTAAATCGCTATCCCCACAACATCAAAGTTACTGGAATAACTGGAAGTGAATTCTGATTTTAACTGTTGTCTGGACTGATTTTACTTCTTGTTTTGTAATCATTTTTATATTTTGTAATCAAGGACTTGCCCCTTGGCTTGATGGAATTTTGCTCTACACTTGACTTGCCTGGTAGAAACAGGAATTTCTAGAAGATTTGGCACTGGATGTGGATTTGGAGTGTGTGGTTTTCTGCCCTTCTCCTCATCACCCTCTTTGTATTTTGAGCCCTAGATAATCATTAAGAGTGCTTGCTTCTCTGTCATGAGACTTGCAGTGATTCAGTGCTTTCACGTTTGTGTGCATGTGCTTCTAGCATGCTGTTTTGCAAAGTAATTTCTTGATTCTGAAGCAAACGTTTCAAGATGGTTTTGATACACTTCAGCGTTGAAGTATTGTCAGATGTGTTTGTACTCAGATACGCACAACGTGTGACACAACGAAGACTTCTTGTACTTACCAGCTTATTTTTTGTTTTTTTTCTCCAGAGGACACTGTTGTAGCAGTTTCAGTGACTGGCATCCTCAAAGTATGGATAATAACATCTGAAGTTAATCGCATGCAGGTAAGCAAAGGCTTTTGTATTACTGGTATGTCCCAGAAGTCTCATAGGACACTTACTGTCGGCTGTTGATAACCAGAATTTTTTTCTGGGACTCTGTTCTGATGAAGATGTAAGTGAGATGTGAAGGTGTCTGAAAGACTTACTGACCAGAGAGCATAATACTTCCCAGTATTCATTATTAATTATCCACAGCTCAGTCTTACTGGTAATTTCTGCTTTCCTATGTACTGATCAGTAAAACTCTTAAAGGAGATTTAACAAGCTTTTCTTGCGAACGATCTATTAAGAGAAACAAATTGAAGACATAGATTATTGTACTTGTTTAGCAACTATGAACAAAATAACATTATAAATAACACATAAACAAACTAGTTCCATTTTTATGTTTCAGGAGTGTTTATATCAGAAAAGCAACCAAGTCTGAGTTAGGTTGGAAGACCAGTGTAATGGAATTACTTGCTTATAGTCCTGTCAGAGGATGACAAAGACATTATTAGTATTTTTTGTTTTAAAATTTTGAGATTGATGAAGGCATTTGCTATCGAGGCATTTTTGAAAACACCTGTCATGCAACTGATCACGGTTTAGCTAATATCACATTTAACAGTTATATTAAGAAAGTAAAAGAGTGAGCAGTGGAGAATATATAAGTAAAAAACGCAAAGACTTAACTAGCAGGCGTTGATCACAACATAGGCCATTTGGAATAGTGAGAACCTTGAAAGAAAGAGCTGAGCTGAATCTGCTTAGTTTCAGCTGGCTGCTGAGAAGCCAGGTAATTCATCGAGTGCGATCACACTAAGCACAGCTTATCACATTAGCACAGCTAATCTGTCCAGCTGAGGAGTTCACTAGGTTTAAGTCACAAAGGAGAATGCTGCATGCTCTTTCAGATCTAAGAAAAATAGAAGGCTTGGTTTCTCCTTAGAAGTCTGCCATCTGGCATCTAATGAAACTGCCTAGTCCCTTTTCCATCACATTTTCTGTCATGTTCTAAGTTCATTTTTAGCTAAGAAAAAATCAGCTGGGTGTCATCTTGTTATCTGATTGCCATATGCATGTTTTCCTGTGAAAAGACTGCCAGTTTCAGGGGCTGGTTACTGTCATACTGTCAGAGTATTTCAGTGGTTTGTCCTGTAGGACAAGATGTTTTTTCCTCATTTTTGTAAGATGGGGAAATACAATTTCAGGAAGATAGTGTTATGGCAGAGAGATCTGTAGCAGAGTAAGGAACTGTGATCTGGACTTTTGAACACCTGTTTCTGTTTTAACTGCATGGCTGTCCTAATTGTCTCTGCCTCTGGTCTTGTTTTTTTTTTTGTTGTTTTGTTAATGGAAGCCTGCACACTTCTGGTTGATTCAGTCAAGCGTTTATAACCAGCCTGGTGAGAGTGCTCAAACATACACCAGGTGGCATGATTCTGTGGCTGGAGCTGCACAGACTCAAGAGAACAGGAGGACATGGCCAGACTTGGCAGGTGGGGAGTGGCAGCAGTGTCCCACCTTCCTGCAAGGTGTCCCATTTCTCATCACTTCTTTACTCCTGCTCCTGTGTATGTGCTACTCGCATCTGCAGGCTTGACTTCTTCATCACTAAGAGCTAAGATTTGAGATAGGTTTTAGCAATAGGAGTATCAAAATGAAGCCTAAGTACTTGTTTCAGTTAGGATTCACAGAAACGTTGACCAGCTCATAATTTGAGCAAGACTGAAACCATCGGTAAATGCCTTTTTGAAGTTGTTAAGACAGTAAGTAATAGCTTGGTTTAGTTGCCTTTTATTTAAAAATATGTGTGACGTTAATGTTACTTTTTTATTGTTTTTTTGTTGGTTTTTTTTTCTTTTTTTTTTTTTTTTTTTTTCTTTTTTTTTTTTTTTTAGGATACAACACCCATATTTGAAGAGGAGTCAAAACCTATTTATTGTCAAAACTGTCAAAGCATTTCTTTCTGTGCATTTACCCAGCGGTCGTTGTTGGTGGTGTGCTCTAAATACTGGAGGGTAAGCTATCTTATTCTCACTGCAGTAGCTGATGTAATTAAATTGCCAGTAAGACACTCAGAGCAAGTTGTTCTCAGCCCTTTTAGGTTGTCTCTGTTGAAACCAAAATTCATTGCCGCATGGACACTTTAATCTGTGATTAGCTGGTGATAGACTTTTCTGTTTCTTCTCAGGTTTTTGATGCTGGAGATTATTCCCTTTTATGCTCGGTCCCTAGTGAGAACGAACAGACCTGGACTGGTGGTGACTTTGTGTCAGCTGATAAAGTGATCGTGTGGACAGAAGATGGTCAAAGCTTCATATATAAATTACCGGCCAGGTACTCAACAATGAACACTGCTTTTTTTGTTTTTAGATGAGCACGTGGGAAATTTTGAATAAACTCTGTGTATCTTTGGCTTGTATTGTATTACAAGATCATGTGGAAGTTATGGGAACTGTTATTTCATGAGCAAACCTGAAAGTGTGTGTCCTGTAGATATGTCACATCAAAGCAAGGATCTGTGAATGAGGTTCTTTCAGCCAGGCTTGTCCCACTGTTTTCTAGCATTTTGATAACTCTTTCTCTTCTTTATGATAGCTGTTGGAGAATGTGTGATGGCAAGGAGCGTGTTTTGCATTTTAACAAATCAAAATATCATTTAAATATTTCCTTAAGCAGTGATTACAGCAGTGGTCTGTAATGTATTGTTTTGACAAGTGAAAAATATAAGATTTTAGGGCTTGGACATTGTTTTTGCTTAAGAACCTAGCATTTCATGTAGTTAGCTAATGATTCAGCAATTAATCTTGTCACGAGGAATTTTAATCTTTTCTTTTTGTTCTTAAACTCAGCTGTCTTCCAGCCAGTGACTTGTTTCGTAGAGATGTGGGGAAAGCAGTAGAAAATTTAATTCCTCCTTTGTTGTACAGTGTATTGGACAGAGCAGATAAACAGGTAAAATATGTTTCTTTTGTATTTTCCTTTGTGGATAACACTCCTTCAGAGTGTTGAAGTATGCAAACGTCATGACATCTTTTTTCTCTTTACAGTGTAGACCTTCAGGATCCTTTTTTTTTTGTTCTTTTACTAGAGGAAGTAGACATTTGCAGAGATGAGTCTGTGGTCAAATGAGTCTTCAGTTCTCATATGATAAGAGTTTGTCATTCATCAGTGCCTGATGTTCTGATTCTGAGTTGAAAAGCTTAGATTTTCTCAATGTGAAGAAATGCCAGTTCTGGCTAAAATCCTTGTTGAACTGTGCTTTGTTTTCATATTGCATTGTGAACTGCATCTGCTATAAAACAGATGTGTGATATGCCTAATCATGTATTCTGCTACAAGTATAAGTGACTGTCTGGTTTACAAATACTGTCATTGCTGAACTATTATAGGAATCCTTTCTTTATCTCAGCTATTTAAACTGTTGACAAATTTGAGCATAAATTTTAAACAAAAATATATATTTAGGATATATATGTATTCTAGATTTTTTTCTTTCCCTTAGAACTGATTTGTTTTATAACTAATCATGGTTTCCATCTGATTCATGTTGCTATATTTGGCCTTTCCTACTAGAAAAATGATAAAGCATATAGCAGTTGGTTTTTGTTCTGCTTTCTAAAATACACAGTGAACTCTGTGGGAAAAGTAAACATTCAGATTTGTGCATAGATGGCCTGTGTCTGAAGTTTTTCAAATTTATTTTCTTTTCACCAGTTACTAATATGTCCCCCAGTCACCCGATTTTTCTATGGACCAAGGGAGTTTTTCTCTAATCTGCTGATCCAAGGAGACTCTTCAGGGAGGCTGTGCATTTGGAGTGTTCCTGATACGCTGGAACAAGACTGTGCAAAAGGTAGGTGTGACAGAGTCTTTTGCTAGGTCTGTTTGTGAGTGTCTCTGTTTTTTGTGTGTTTTGTTGCTGGATAAAGCACTGTTGCTTTTCCTGCAAATGCGTGAAGCTTTTCTGTTGTTGTTCTTCCTTTAATTGCTGGCCTCGTTAGAGCTCTAGTAACTCGAAGTTTTTAATATATGATCAAAATCTTATGCTGGACACCTTTCAGTTATTACTTTTTAATTGCTTTCTCCCCAAATTCCAGCTATGATGTCTGGAAGTGCCATGTGCTGTCTGCCTGTGTAATAACTTCTTGTAGCTTAAATCATATGTTTTCCCAGTCTCTCATGTATTGCTTCCTTGTGTAGCTTCTCTGGCCCTGGGGTAGCCAGTGAATTGATCTCAAAAATGTATCTTTTACTTTGAACAAGGTGTTGTGACACACTAAAAGTTGTAACTTTGAAATCACTTAATGAAGGCATTCCTGTTCTGGTTCTTCAATTATTTTTTTTCTTTCCGTTCCAACAGGACTGCAAGCAACAACTTCGATATCCCTCCAGGAAGCTTTTGATAAACTTACTCCTCGCCCAGCTGGAATTATAGACCAACTGAGCTTAATACCAAACATCAAGGAACCACTGAAGGTTACAGCCAGTGTGTACATTCCAGCCCACGGGCGGCTGGTTTGTGGTCGGGAAGATGGAAGCATTGTCATTGTGCCAGCAACCCAAACTGCTATAGTTCAGCTTTTGCAAGGAGAGCATATGCTTAGGAGAGGTATGCTAACCAGCTTTTGAAAGGCACAACTGCATGACAGTGTGTGCTTCTCTCTTATTACTTACACTGAAATACAAAAATACACTGAAATACAAAATAGTCCTGCAAAGAGAGCAGTAAAGACAGGAGTTGGATAGCTATACTCTTCATAACTCTGTTGTTACGTTGTGATGAGGAAGCTAGGTAACAAATTAACTGTGGACAGTCTAAATGTATTTTTGAAGGAGGACTCCTTCACTGGAGGAGTTCACCTGTTTCTCCTGGGTTTCTGGGGTGCCAGAGAACAGACAGGCAGCACATTCAGCTGAGTACTGAGGTGTCTGTGAGTATCTCTTTGGAAAAATAACACACTGAAATGAGAATTCCTCCTAGTGTGTAGTGTAGCTGGTGGACGTGATACATTGTCCTGCTGTTGCACTTTTTGATGCCAGATAGTGTTGCTTTTGTACTTTCATAAAGTTTCCAAAAAGGTGTTTGAGTCCAGGATTTTTTTTGCAAATGCTGGCAACTGGAAATGATGTGTGAATGTTTTTCAAGTGTGCAAATGTGGGTGTGTATGTGTGTATGTATATATGTGAGGTTGTCAGTTATGTCATATTGTTTATACAGATGATTATTTTTAAATGTGAGTTGTTTTAAGTTGATGTGTTATTCTGCAAATGACTGTTGGTGATTCTTACACTCATAAAATATGGAAGTGCTTCTATGTTTTCTGTGTAAGATTTGCAGTTGTTGCTGGAAAGCATAATTATAGTAAGAAACTTCTACTATGTCATACACACATTCCATAGAATACTTGACTCTGGTATTTATTTACTGACCTCCTTTTGTTAAATTGCCAACTAAAAAGGTAGTTTTCATTGGTTGGAAGGTTACAGTGACAGTGGTTTTTAACTGATCTCAGTAGACAGGACTCATCGTTCCTGCACTATGTTCACAAAAGTTGTTTTTCTTCTAAATTTAAATTTGTCATTTGTACCTGTTCTGCTCAGGCTCTCCTGTGGCTACTGCCAAATAAGATTTTGCAGTTTTTCTGATATTGCTCTCATTTGATTACATCTCTAGATAAATTAATGTTCAAGTGGGAAAAGCTTGGTATTTTTTTTTCTTTTTCCAGACCTTTGTGGAGTGCGGTGGTTTTGTTTGTTCTGTATTTTTGTTTCTGATGGGATTATCTTAGGAGGTAGGCTGTTTTAAGACAGCTGAAAGTTGTGAGATCGTGCAGCCAGAGGAGTCATCAAGTCCATGTGAAGTTAAAACAAAAAACAGTGAATCTTTTAAAGCAAGGCAAGGCAAATCCTTTAAAAACATCTGGCAAAAATGTAGTATATGTAATTTTTTTTTAATCACAGGCAGAGCTCTGTTTTGTTTATTCTGTCAAAATTTAAAACGTTTTTTATCCCTCTTTTCCACTTTTCTCCCCCCCGACCCTGACTTTACCCCATTTCTCAGGTTGGCCACCTCACCGGACTCTCAGAGGTCATCGAAACAAAATTACTTGCTTACTGTATCCTCATCAGGTTTCTTCTCGTTATGATCAAAGGTATTTGATCTCAGGTGGTGTGGATTTCTCAGTCATCATATGGGATATATTTTCTGGAGAGATGAAACATATCTTCTGTGTACATGGTGGAGAAATTACACAGCTTCTAGTTCCACCAGAAAACTGTAGTGTAAGTTTTAAATAATATGTTCTGATAACCTGTCATATACTTCCCATAAATGCTGCAGCCTCTTAAATCCTTCTTGAAAACGTGAATGCAATGTGAAATACCAAAGCTCCAGCTCTGAGCTCAAGTATGACCCTTATAGGCATTTAAAAATAATGTGATCGTTCTGTTAATTTTGGTTGTGTTCACACCATGATTTAGCTATAGAAATGACTAAAAATAGAAAAAATGGATATTCAAACATGGCTAGCTAAGGAAATGATTGGCTGTGTATGATTATACAGCATTAACAGTGGGGGAACATTTCTGCTACATGAAGTGAACTTATTTCTCTGATGAGGTTTGAGGCTAAGGCAAGACTCACTAAGTTAGCCCATAGATTTTGAATGAAATTTCATTTTTCATAGCTTGGATGAGCAGAAAGAATTTAATGCATGTAATGACATTGATTTACTTCAGAATCATAGTTTCTCTTTTTTTGTTCAAGACAATTTCTCTGCTTTTTGTTTCCTTGTTTTTTCTTCCCTTGTTCTCTTTTTGAACATTCTTCTGCTTTGTTGCCCTCACTTTCATTCCTATGTTTCTCTAACACATTTCCTGTACCTCTGCACTGCCTCTCTCTGCTGTGATGCTAATTTGCCTTCGATGTACCTTTGAAAACATTTGTGACTTGACAAGTTAATCTAAACTGAATATAGATGTAAAGTTTTGAATTTAAACTGAAATATTAATGCATACTCCAAGTTTAGGAAGAGTTGGAAGAAAATATAAAGCTATTCAAATTGTTTACGGAATATTTCACAGTGACTTCATCTGTGGGAGTATTCATAAATGTGTGCCAGGGACCTGAGTGTTCTGTCTCATGCATCACAGTGCCTGGCCTTTCTTTTTTTTTTTTTCCCTTGTTTTAGTAAGGATCACACATCACTGTTAGGTAAAATATTTCAGCCTCTAGAGTTAAAAAAAAAAACCAAAAACAACAAAACAAAAGCAATTATATAGATGTGATGAGATTGAGAGTAAGTATTCAGAATTTTATTTTGTCAGATGACTAGGTCTTTTTTTTTTTTTTTTTTTTTTCCAGATAAATAAACAAATTCACAGTTGCTTCCTATTCAGATTTTAAATGTCTGTAAAACACTGATAGAAAATAATTAGCCTTTTGTGGAAAATCGAAAGGTTTCTGACCATTGTAAGAGCAAACAAATATGTAAGTGCGTGGCTGCACTGAGTTTTTGGTTCAGTGCATAACGTTTTTTCAAGGTAGAGATACTCCTCAGCTCTGCAGAGATGGCTGGTCTGACAGCCTTTTGACTTTACAATTGTGAGTGGTTTGCTTCTGGAAGAGTTTGGTCCAGTGGGATTCTGTTCCTAGTGATGACAGCAAGTTCTGCTGTGTATTTCTGTCCCTGTGTTTTTCTTAGAAAATACGTTGTTAATCGTTATGCTTGATTCAGCGGAGATGAGAGTATTAAAAGCAAACTGCCTCCATTAGGATTAATCTGTATCTGTTTGTTTCTTTTGAAGGCAAGAGTCCAGCACTGTATTTGCTCTGTGGCCAGTGATCACTCTGTAGGTCTTCTCAGTCTGCGTGAGAAAAAGTGCATCATGCTGGCATCCCGCCACCTCTTTCCTATTCAAGTGATCAAGTGGAGGCCTTCTGATGACTACCTGGTGGTGGGATGCTCTGATGGGTCCGTGTACGTCTGGCAAATGGATACTGGTATGGTTACAGTCAGATGTTGTTTAATCAATTTTCTTAATAATGCTTGGTAATCTGTGTAAGTTGCATCTGAGAGAAGTGTTAATTGTTTTCACGCTTTCTGTCTTTCCCTTCCCATGTTCTCAAAGTTTGTAGATTAAATAAACCTTTGTTAAATATGTACTTCAGTGTTTGAAATGACTTACTTGGTTTTGGAGAAGCCTAACTTGCTTTGGCCTTCTTCATGTTTGCTTTCCCACTTTCCAGTTTGTCAGCATGTATGCTCCCTCAGTTTGCCTGAAAGTTTGGCGTAGAAGTTCAGCACCTTAAGAATCATTAGTATCTTCTTCTGTAAAGTGAAGGATAGTGCTAAATTCTGTTTGTTTATCTAGAGTTTGTTTTCCTTTGTTATTAAGGGGGCTGATCTTCCCTTTAGAAGACAGTGATTAAGACAGATGAACAGAATGGGCAACAAGGCATGAAATTGCAAGCTTGATTGTAAGAAATGTCTTTGTTGAAGGAGAGAAAGTGAGGGAAAAAAAGGCTGTGCTGTATGTAACTACCTTCTAACGCCTAAATTCACTTAAAGAAAAAAATCCCAAACCTACAATAATACCTGAATATTATTTTCAGCTTATTGTGAAATAATCCTCCCAGCGCTTGAAGGGAGGATATGAACAGGAAGGGGAATGGCTGTTTAGGTGGATAGTGATAGAACAAGGGGGAATGGTCTTAAACTGAGACAGGGCAGGCTTAGGTTGGATATCAGGAGGAAGTTTTTCACCCAGAGGACGGTGAGGCACTGGCACAGGTTGCCCAAGGAGGCTGTGGATGCCCCATCCTGGAGGCATTCAGGGCCAGGCTGGATGTGGCTCTGGGCAGCCTGGGCTGCTGGTTGGTGACCTGCACACAGCAGGGGGTTGGAACTGGATGAGCGCTGTGCTCCTTTGCAACCCGGGCCATTCTGTGATTCTGTGAAATTGAGATGAGAATTTCAACCCTGCTTGTAGCAGAGAGTTGCAACTAATTGATCCTTAAGATCTTTTCCAACCAAAGGCACTTGGTGATTTTTTTTATTTTTATTATTTTTTTGTTTTGTTTTGTTTTGTTTTGTTTTGTTTGTTTCTGAAGCTTTAGGAAACAAAAAGGAATCTGACATCCATCATGGGATGTTTAAGCCATGATAGTTGGAGGATGGCAAAGGGAAATCAAAGAGCTGAGAACAAGATTCTGCTCCATGCTGGGCCCATGCAGTCTCCAGTGTGTGCAGTGCAGGATCACACTGTTTATTTTTGAACTTGTTTTGATTTTTATTAATATTTTCTTTGCACACTTCAACCTGTTAGAAAGTTGGGGAAATCCCATTCCTTGAGGAATATTACTACTAAAAATAGCTGTTAGCACCTCTGAAATTTATGTGCGTTGCATCCCGTTGTATTGTGATTTTGGGGGTATTCTGCATTGTTCTTGCTTAACCTGCTGTTTTTCATGATGCTTGAAGGTGCTCTGGACAGATGTGTGATGGGAATAACAGCAGTTGAAATCCTGAATGCCTGTGATGAGGCGCTGCCTGCAGCTGTGGACTCCCTGAGCCACCCTGCTGTCAACCTGAAGCAGGCCATGACACGGCGCAGCCTGGCTGCCCTGAAGAACGTGGCACACCAGAAGCTGCAGACCTTGGCCACCAACCTGCTGGCTTCTGAGGCATCTGACAAAGTAAGCTGTGTTCCTCTTGGTCTGCTTCCAGTGCAGTGTCTGAATCGGTCTTCATTTGAAAGACTCTTATCCAAGCCACTCTGATATTTTAATAGAAAGACCTGAGGTTGATCTGCCTGGCCTTGGTAGGGTCCTGCATTCATAGGATCAGTAAGGTTTGAAAAGACCTTAAGTTAGTTTATCTGGCCTATCTTTATAACTTGAAAACTTTTTATGATTTTTTTTTTTAAACGTGGCTCATGAAAGAAAATATTTTTCTATTTCTGTTACTGCCCTTTTGAAATGGAAAATACCATTCTTCTTGCTAAGTGTGGGTCTATGTAATTGTCATGTCAGTATGTGTTTGTTAATATCTCAATGTCTGTTAAGAACAAGTAAGATATGAGTTCATATTCTTCTGCAAATGTTTTCTTTTTGCATATGAGAGGACATTTTAGGTATTTAAAAGAACCTCAAGACAAGCAAAAGAATATTCTCACAAGAAATGAGAACCCTGTGGTACCTATGTTTTTTATTATTTCAGTCTTCTTCACGCCTGGGATTAAAATCTCCAGACAAGAGAGTAGTGTTAGATTTGCTTGTGACCGTATTAAATCCTTTAGCAGGAACAGTTTTTTTCCCAGACTGTTTAAACCTAAACAGTTACGTCTGCAGAAGCAAACGTAAGAAGCTAAAGGTTGATGGAGGAGTAAAGTGTGCTGAAAGAACTGCTGGGATTTCTCTTGCTGATCTTTGCTCGTTAGGGATTTCTCTCACTACTCTTCTGTACAGAAGTTTAGTACCATTCTGAGGGAAATCCACCCGGAATCACCTTTTTGACTACAGCTGCCAGGATGTAGCTAGATGAAAGAGAAGGGCTTTGTTTTTTGGGTTTGTTTTTTTGGGTTTGTTTATTGGAAGGATGTAGGAAGATAAAGCATGGATAGGCGTCGGTGTATAGCAGATGTAAGCATCTGTAAGTAGAATGGTCATTATTCCTTGCCTCTGCTAGGAAAGCTATGATTCTTGAGATATTTTATTTCACTGACAGGCATTTAGGGATCATAATGATGAATCTGTTAAATTGAGATCATCACAATCCAAATATTGCTTTCTTTATTTTTGGTTTGGTTTTGTATGAGAGCAAATTTTATTATATTGGAAGGAATATCCAGGAAACTGGAAAAATAGCCTCAGAATTGTATGCTAGAGAAGTATGTAAGAAACTGTCCCTTCCCTGAACAGTTTGCTCTGCTTTGAGCAGATACTGGGATTAGAGGATTTCTAACCTCAGCATTGCTGTGACTCTGTCCCTTATATATGTAAAATCAATTAATAAAGATATTCTGATTCCAATGTGCTGCAGTTCATCATTTTTCCCTTTATAGTAGTCTTTAAAGCTATGGAATTTGATTAGCCTGTAACTCAAAAATGTTACTGGAATCCTAGGGAAAAAAGCTTTTCTTTTTGCTTTTCTCTTCACTGAAAGTGCTGGTGATGTTGTAGTGGGCCGAGTTTTGACCACCAGGGAGCAGCAGAGAGCCGCTTCCAGTTTCAGGTGTTCTATTTTGTTTAACTTTATTCTGATTGGAAAAGAGCTGTCACTTATAGAGGTCATTCTTCAGAGCAGTGTATGCTCAGATTTGTGCACAGTATTTCTTCTGCATCCTGTATGACTGTCAGCATCACTTAGTAATTAATGTGCTTGTGCATGCAGTGCAGATATTTGTGCTTTGTGCACAGGAGACCCTAACAGGAAGGTACTGCTACCTGCAGAGAAATGGTGCATAGCACTGCAAAATGTGTTCTGTCCCACAGGGCAATGAGGATTAATAACCAAAGGAGTTTGATTATTTTACTTCTAATTTTATCGTTTGCGTCATTACCAGAGACCTTGTGTAAAAAGTTTCTTACATTACAGTCAAAGAAATTAACTAGGTTTTTGTGGTAAATAAGGAACATGTTAATAAATCAATGAATTTTAGAACAGGATTTGTAATTATTTATTGACATTTAGTTATTTCCCTTCTGGTTCCAATTACCTGTTATTTGCTTCTTATGGAAAAGTTATTTAATGAACACGGTTTGTGTGTTCTCAGGATTTACCTGAGAAAAGCAGGAGGTCTTGTCCTAGCACTGATTGAAACCTTCTTCAAGGCAGCGAGTTGTCTTTTGGCAGAGGCAAAAAAGAAGAGTATAGATTTTAAGGGAAGGCTAGTCTTTGGTGCATGCAGTGCCTGAAACTTGGCTGAGGCTGTGGGAATGACAAGTACAACTCACTACTGAGAACTGCCTGCTGACAGGAAAGTGGGTGCAGCAAACTTACCACAGGTTGTACTTGCTCTCCTCCACTTCTGCTCCATGGAATAGAATGTGGGCATTCATCAGAATACTAGCAGCCTTCAATTAAGAGTCTGAAAATTAAAAAAAAAAAAAAAAAGTATTACGTAGAAAAATGAAGATTATAATATCAAATACAGCAATTTGACTAGACAACTAGACTAGTTCTAGGTAAACAAACTGTGCGCAAGTTGTCTTTGAACAGAACTGAAAAAGCAATGAAAGGGCACTTAAAAAAAAAAAAAAAAAAAAAAAAAAAAACTTATTTTATATATATTTACAATTTTTTTTCCCCCTGTACATCTTGCTATGAAGCATAGAGAGGTTGTTCTTGTTCTGCTCATCAAGGAAACTGAGTGCTTCAAACAGGTGATTTCCAAACCTAAAGCTCACGTCAGGAGGTCTAGTTTTTCCTCTGAAGATTTTTCTGTAAAAAGCAATCTCATTTAAAAACAAATATTCTGTATCTGAAGAGTGTAAAGTGTAGTAGCAAGAGAAAATGCAGAGTGATTTGACATACAAAAATCTGTGAATGTAAACCTTGGGGTTTAAAATAACGTATTTGTTTCTAAACTAACTTCATACTCTGAAGCAATCGGTGAATGTGAGATGATGAATATTATATTCCTTTGTGCTAACAGCATTTTGATGATCTCTACAGGTGTAATGGAAAAATAATATATGTACATCATTTGTGATTTCAGACACCTGTTAATGAAATCTTGTATGAAATCGACAGTAGCCAAGTAGTTGTAGGACTGAAAGTGTATGTCCAGTTTTTCAATTAGAGAATGTTATATGTATGTAGAGGTAAATATGTTTGTCTTTGTGATTTGTCATGATACATGCACCTGTAAGTGTTCCAACTGTTGAGCTCAGGGGTTGAAACAGACCAGATAATGGCTGTTTTATGTATTTTTATTGGTCAGCAGGCTTTCAGTGAGGGATATTCTTGTGGTCTAGGGGATATAAGACTTTTTAAGATATTCTCTTTGGTTCATGTCTGTGGAATATCAGGATGCGTAAAGAACGGAATAGAAGTATGTCCCAAATTAGTGTTTGTACGAGTTATCAGTTATTTTCACAGTCTGGCTTATACCTCTGTAGTTATGCATGTGTGTATTTGTAAACACAGTGTATATGTAATAGCTGCAAACCTTGTTAGTTTCAAAATAACTGCTGTGAAATCTGCAGTTTATCTAGAGTTCTGTTTATCTGATAAACTTAAGTAAATGAAATTACTGTATTTTAGGATTGTAAGATTTGATCACAAGTCTGAAATTGCTGATGTTATGAGAATGGCAGCCAATAATATAAGAACATTTTTCATGTTTTATGCCCATGTGATTTTTCTAACTTTCATCACCTTTGATTAAATACAAAAAAATGTATAAGAACAATTATCCAGTGACAATATCAAAATACTTTCTTTCTTTTTTTTTTTTTTTTTTTTTTTTTTTTTTTATTTTTGGTGGGGTATTTAAAAAAATAGAAAAAAAAAAAAGAGTTTGTTAAAGCAA